CCCAAATTCCCCAGCCCGCATGGGGAATTCTGGGAGTTGAAGTCCACTCGTCTTAAAGTGGCCAAGTTTGGACAACACTGCTGTAAGCCATCCTGGGGCAGGGTAGCATCTTCATAAACTGACTGAGCTTGAAACAGAATATGAGACAAGTAGAATCCACCCCCACTCCCATCAAATGGGTACGTGACCACACATTTTGGCCTGCGCTGGGATCTGTCTTGGTAATTCTTTTTCTTTTTAAGGCCGTTGATTCTGCACTTGACTCAAATGTCTCTTTGTTTCACGCTGCCACTTGTTTAAAAGGTACAAAGGGCTGATAACACCGGGAATGAAAGCCACGTGCCTGAAAGTAAGTCAGCAAAGATGGCGGAGAATAACAATTCAGGCAGAATAACAATCTACTCCAGGTTTACCCAGGAGCGAGTCCAACATAACAAGCAGCAGGTTGCTTTCTATGAAAATAATCTGTGGGTCACAGCTCCTTTGATGGCCTCAGGCAAATTTCTTTCTTTCAAGTGCCGTCCCCCTGGGGTGTATTAAAGAAGTTGCCTTGCTTTATTGAATGGTGGTAGAGCGTGCCAAGTTGTTTGCGGAAAGCTCTGAAAACTTTGGAACATTCTTACAGGGCAGATTAGTGAATCATCCTTCTTAAATGATGATAAATCATTATGAAATGGTTTATGGTGGAATTATTTGTTATGATTGGCAGTGTGATGGCTTCTGATCCATCCATGACAGAAGAATGGAATTTTCTTAATTAGTTGGTTTTTCAAAACAGAGGGATTATCAATATCAGACATGGCTTCTAGGATCCAAAGAGGGAGTTCACCCAGTGCACATGTTGCACACATCCATTACCCTCTTCCTCGTGCCACTAAAAATTAGCAAGAACTTTAACAAAGATTTCTCTCTCTCTCTCTCTCCCTCTCTCTTTCTCAAAATAATCTAATCTACTTTTGGGGGGCTTTTGAACTTTTAAAAAATGTCCCTTGAGTAAAGGAAGAGATTATACAGGCTGCATTGACACCTGAGATATAGGATAAAACAGCAAATTACAGAGTCAATCTTGGCACAAAAAGCAGGTACTCATGACTCTTATGTGTCTTCATGTTGGCTCAAAGCCACCCATCTCACGCCGATCTCAGCAAAGCAATATGCCATGCCAGTATTGAGCAGAACACAGTCCATCAAAAAGCCCAAAGGTCTCATAAACTTAACAAGAAATTATTTCCATTTTCCAGTTTATTACACAATGATTGGAACAGCTGGAATGCCAACTGGAAAAGTACAGATGGGTGAGCTTTCATTGCTCTCCATTTTTCATTTTTTCAGGTCCATCAGGTTGAACTGTGATTTTTTTTAAAGTTCATCTATGTGTTTTGGTGTCCATTTCTCCAAATTTTTGCTTACAATTTTATCTCATGCAGAGTTTTTGCAAACAATTTCTCCTAGCAGAATCCATTTGGGTACAGTCTTTTCATGACAATATGGATTTTGAATATTACAGATGTTTCCCTCAGAAGAAAACTGAGAACTGGGTTGAAAAATGTGGAAACGCGACTTTCAAATGATGCTTAAGTTTTGCTTCACACATTGGTTCAAAAATGCATGCCTCAATAAATTTGCATTCAAATGCAAACCAAACAAATTTCTCTCCCATACCTATTGGAAGAGAGAACCACCATCTACCAGCCAAAAAAATGATCTATCAACAAGTCATCAATCAACTGCAAAATACAATAACATCTGCCCATAAGACCATCCCATTCAAGCACACACAAAGCAGATAAGACCAAAGATATGTAACTCCTGCCAACCAATGAACCTCAATTTTCCCAGATAACTGCATTGCTTATATTAGAGCAAGCAAATGTCTACAACCCAAAAACCAAGGTTGGAGAACTGCAACCATACAACAGATAGAACCAAATTAAGTAAAGCAGGTATAATGGTTCAGGTTGATTACTCCATATGACATACCTGGAGATCAACAGGGTGATCACAAATTTCTGGGTGAGCAGCTCTTAAATCTGACAGCCTCTCCCCATCTTTGGATTTTGATTTTTTTGGCTTCTCATACCACTTGGTCCACTCAACATCTGGAAGAAAAAAAAGGAAACGACTCAATGTAAGGTCATTTTGGACAGAACAGGCTTTAACGAACGCTGGAAAAAATGTGCTCTACAGGTCTTGGTGCCAAAAACTGTTAGCAAATCTATTTAAAAGCTACCCACTCCTGGTGCTTTCTCCAGGTCAGTCAGATGTTATTTGGGGATGTCCCAAAGCACATCAGGCTAGAGATTAAAGAGAAACCAATCTTTTGATGGGACACATTTGACCTTTGAAGGACAGGCTGGAGAAGAGGAGACATAGCAAAACTAAAATAAATGGGTCCATGATGGAGCACTTATGGTATTATGGTTGATGTCAGGATACAATATTGCAGAGATTCTAATGACAATATAAATAGATAGATAGATAGATAGATAGATAGATAGATAGATAGATGATAGATAGATAGATAGATAGATAGATAGATAGATAGATAGATATTAACATGAGTGTTTTAGCCAGTAAGATACATTCTAGATAGATAGATAGATAGATAGATAGATAGATAGATAGATAGATATTAACATGAGTGTTTTAGCCAGTAAGATACATTCTTTTTTTTTTTTCAATTTAATTTATGATTATTCCAAATACCTACGTACATAGGACACAATAAAGTTCTCATGAGAAAATGAGCAAGGATTAGTTTTCCCAAACTGGACAACTTATGAGGGATTGGAGCAGTGACTCAACCTTCTGGAGGACCGCAGAAGGTCAGAAGCAAAATAGCTGAATTTGGGGCTGTATGTATCTGTTTTTGGCATCTGGAGGGAGAAGTGAATTTAAATATAAGCATAGGAGAGGGACTTCTCTGTGAGACCAGTTAGTACCATGCATCCTTAATCCCCTCCAAATTTAGCTATTTTCTCTATGGGATGCTACAAATGGGTGCTGGAGGGCTGCCTGCAGTCAATGAGTCACTGGTTGCTCATCACTGGCCTGGCTGGTTCAACAAAGCCATCTGCTCCTTTGTGCGGCATCAAAACAGCTTTTAATGCTCCTGTCCACTGTAGGAGCAAAAGGTGGAGATTCAGTGATCCTCCAAACGTTGCTGAGCTTCTACATCCATCAGGGCCAATGGTGAGGGGTGCTAGGAGCTGTAGTTCAGCCCTATGTTGATTTTTGCACATTGGGGTTGGGGAATATCTCCAACTGTACTGGGAACTGCATTGCAAACTTGCTCTGAAGAAGAAAAGTCTCACCTTGAACCCACTCACTGGTTGAAGACACATTGAAACGCTCTCCGTTTTCTGCCTGGAACAATTTGAATACTTTGGCTACAGCTGAACCTTTGCGTCCTGCAAAAAAACACAAAATACCAAAAGGGAAGCAAGAAAACAACTAACTTCCTAGCAATCCCCAAATGTGCAGTTAGTTATGGAGAAGCTGTCAACAATCTGACCTTTATGTTCCTTTGGGGGATTTAGAACACACATATGAAAGGGACCTACAAAGTTTTAACTGCAAGTGCTAAATATTGGCATGATTGTTTAGATCATCTCTTAGGCAAAGTTGGATGTCCTCTGGAAAGGGAGTGTCTGCAAAACCGCAGAATGAGAGGGGGGAAAACATGAACTAGTTACTTTCCCCCATCCCTCATGTTCTGGTTGCAGAATAGATACAAATGGCCTTGTGAAAGATCTAAAGGGGTTCCACACAAAGCAGCAGCACAGTAAATTGCATAGGGGTAGGAAGGGTACCCCAATCATCTTTTTGGATAATACCACCAAGTTGTCACTCAGATTTAGTAGGGAACAGAGTGTCAGGATCTAAGCAAGCTAGAAATTAACCAGAATGATCAGCATGAATGTTGAGAACTGAAGCCTATCCACCTAAAAGACATCAAGGCTGGAGAAGGCTGATGTAGGTTCTTAATTCCAGATAACAGAAGCCTTGGCCTCAAATTATGCCTGAAGTAGCCTAACGCCTTATGCCAAAATGCCACTCGGTATAATTTATCTACCATTATTCTAATGGCCAAATCTTGGTGATTACCTTGATATTCAACATGATCTTCCACAGAAGACAAAGGCTTTCCTTTGACTGTGATAAAGCTCCAGGGATGCCTGGGGAATTAAAGAAAAACAGCATAAAAAAACAGAGCATTACTCTTTTGCAAGAAATGCATGCATCCTTTCAGAATATGGCTTGTTTTGTTCTCTGTTCACAGCTCCCCAGACAGACTGATCTATGAGATAAAAAAAAGATGCTCTTGAGTAGAGCTAGACTCCTGGTGCCTGCATCCAGCTGTTTTCTTGGCAGCAGGATGGAAGTGGTTTGCCACTGCCTTCTGCTGCAATGTGTTTTCAACTTCCCAGTCTAGCCAGCTCCAACCTGGATAAAGGCAATGGTGCCTTTGCACCTATTCCACCCCACACACAAGCATACTCCCCAAGAAAATTTTTTAAAAGCCAGAAAACCTTTTCTTATCTTAATTCATTTATTTCCTTCAGCTTGAAACAAAGCAAACAGTTATGACTTTTAAGGATTCCATTGTGCAAACGCCTTACAGCATAAACCTCAACAGTTTCCAAGTTGAAAAATCTCCAGCTTTGGATGAGAAAGTTTTCAGAACTTCTTCGGCGGAATCCCATCAGAGGTCAAACCATAAAGAACTAGCTTTGTAGAGACTAGAAGTCCTGAATTTGTAGAAATGCCTTGCAATGAACTGAAAATATCTGGCTTTCATCTCCACTCTCTGGAAGAATCAAGACTGGGCAAATGTTGTAGCAGAATACAAAGACGGCATTTGTAGGGAATTTATAGGAAGATTTCATTTTATTGATTAATTGACTAAATCTCTCTCTGTGTGTCTGTTTTAATAAATATGTGTTTGCCTGAACTCATGGAACTCTGAAAGGTTAGGAGTTGTGTTTATAGATCCTTCTGAAATCTAGGTGAGTAATATGTGCATGTGGTTTTTTTTTTCTTAATATATTATTTTTTGCTGTTAACTTTTTCAAACCAGACAGTTGCAGAGACCACTAAGAACATGAGCAGAAGGACACAGATTGGGGGAAAAAATAACCAGACATAAACAAGAAGAACTGAAAATTCTTTGTCCTACCATAGTTTGCCCTGCTGTCCCAAGCAACAACACTGTGAATTAATGGCATTTGCCACTACCAAATGAGAAGGACATGGTGGGAAATTCAATACAGCCTACAGGATTCTAACTGGGATTCAAAAGTTTAAAAAATCAGACTAAAAAGGACACATTATTGAGCATAAGGTTTATAGAACTTTCCATCATTGCCATATTTAAATTTGCTTCACTATATGCTTAGAAGGGTGCTGGATTCCATTAGCTGCATTCTTGACTCCAAATTGGCTATTTATTCATAATCCTTAATGTAGGTTAGAAGGCCACTTTTGCCCAATACTGTCTGAAAAGAAAAGAGGCAAAGTCTATCTTTTTGCTAAGTGAGGGTTCATTGAGAGGGAGAAGATGGAAATCTGTACATGGATGTTGCTTAATTTTAAGAGGCAGTTTGGCCTGCTCAGTGTAGGGAGAAGGTGGCTCATTGAATAGCACAACTCAATGTAGGTGTGACATTGCAACACATCCCCTCTGGCCTTTCCACAGCAGCATAGCTGGATGATCCAGCTGGAGTCCCCTAAGTTTCTATCATGCACATTTTCCTACAGATTTTAAGAAAAATACATGTGTAAACAGGAGGGAATCATGGCTCAATAGATGTGAAAAGGACAGATTCAGAGTCCATTCTCACTTGGGACTGACTAAGCAGAATCCCAAGCATCAAGAATCCCTAGTAGTATTGCCTGCTGATGGTTCAAAGAAAACATTGCTCCAGTGAAGAGTGGTACATGTGAGTTGGATGCACACAGGGTGGTGATAGAGAGAAGTGACAACTACTTAGCCAGCTGGATCAATGTCTGACATAGCACTCTCACATCCCTTTATATCTACAAAGTTTTCGTACTCCTTTTTCATTGATAGGTCAAGTGGTGTTGGCAAAAAGGTCTTCTATTTATAGTTGCATTCTGTAATGGAGCTCTGAATGCACAATAAAGTCTATCAACTGATTGACAAGCCACCCATTTTTACTGCCTGCCTTGGAAAGTGAAGACAGACAATTGTTAAGCAACTGGCAGGCAACAAATATGTGGCTGGCCGTTCCCCAGTTGGCTGGAGAACTACATGTTACTTTTTTTTTTTAAAGAAAAATGACAGAGACGGAGAACAAGGAAGGATTGAAGAGGAGAAAAAGTGGGGGGAAGTGTTGGAATTGTGGGGGGCCCTGGGGAACCTTTTGCTAGGCCCCCTCAAACTAGAAAAACCACTGACTGGAACCACCAAGGGCAGGAAGGGTTCACCAATGGCTAAGCTGAGCCTGTAGCCAGAGCAGAAGGAATAGGGCAACATCCCAGAGCTACAGGAATGACTAGAGAGGCCTGAAGGAAAAAATATGTTTGCACTTGACAAATTGGCAGATAGAAGAGAATTTGTCACTCTGCCTGGAATTGCTTGATTTCTTGTCTTCAAGGTATGTATATTGGACAGGATTAAGAATGCAACTTTCTCAAACAGCAATAATCGTTTTGGTTTCAATCACAACTGTAAAGTCTGCCCAAGATGAGAGATGTCTAATTAGAACAACTCTGAGCAACACAGTCCCTGGAGGGGGTGCTATGAGTGCTATTCCAAGCAAGGAGAGAGGGAGGGAGCAGAAAGTTCTGCCGGCACAAAGCCAGTGCTGCTTCTGGACTGATTTGGACATGCCATGTGGCAAAGGAATTTGGAAAGACTATGAACTGTGTCCAGATGAGTGGGATGGACAAGTGGGAGAAACTGCATGTCGATCTCCTAGACGGCTGGGAGAGAGGATTTGTTTCCATGCCTATGAACATCAAACCCAGTCACACAAATACTGACAGAACTAGATCAGTTAAGAATACATTCTAAAAAAACACTGGAGAGGCAGTATTGTGTAATGGCTAAAGTGTTAGAGCAGGATGGGAGAGGCCCAGGTTCAAGTCCACCCTTGGCCACAGAAGCTCCCTGGGTGACTTCGGGCCAGTCAATTGCTCTCAGCCAAACCTACCTGACAGGATGGTGGTTACTGGAGAAAAAACGGAGGAGGAAATGTTATTTATGCCACCTCCAGAAATGCAGGATATCTTTCTTAACATAAATACATACACCCCCATAACTAAAACTCCAAAACCAAAGAGAGGAACCACAGCCAATACAATCACTTGCAATACAATCCTCTCCATGCTTACTCATACATAAGGCAGCCTACTCCCAGGTAAATGCTTCCCTAAGATTGCAGCTAAGTTTTCTCAAAACAAAAGACCAGTCTGGGGAGTTCTGAGTGGTTGGTTTAATAAAGATTACTCAACTTCTTATGACTTCAGTGTGTAAATTGGCTGATGGGTCAGAATTCCTGCAGTTCATTTTTTGGGAGGGGGAGGGTAAGGAATAGGGAACTGGCACTGGAATCCCATAAGAAATGGCCTCATATTGGGTGAGACCAGGGATTCACCACTGTCTGCATAAGAAAAAGAAAAGCTTTCTATGATTTGAAATTTTGAGAACCTACTATAGAATTGAGAATATACTACATCGCTCTCACCAAATGGTGAGAGGGAAACTGCCAGGTAGTCCAGACAGGACGCACACCCAGATGAACTAATTCTACTGTACACTAACTTCTACAGGTTACACTAACAGAATCTTGCAAGTCTGAAAGTACATTTCTCCCCTGTCACCTTTACCGCCCAAGAAACCAGGGAGGGTCCCTTGTGAGATGTTTGCCACACCCCATTCCTTCTGTGGGCTTAGCTGCCTTTTATCTGACCATTCCCCTGGCTGTGGCTCTTCCCCCTGTCTCCCAAGGCCATAACATTACAGAAACTGGTGGAGTGACTCCCTTTAAGCTTTGTCAGCACAGGGCCTTCTATTCCAGCTTAATGACTGTATCTTTTTTTGGGCAATTGGGCAGGTTCCCAAAGGAAACGATGAGATGCAGCCACCCCATTTCTGCTTTTCAAGAATGCCGGTGAGGCCCATGTGGATCTTGGAGACACTATTATATGCAATGAAATGGTGCTGGATGTTAGCGATTTGCTTTGCAATGTGTCAGCTCCCTGTTTCATATCATTGAATTAAAAGAATCTTGAAAAAATCAGGCAAGGCAACAGATGCAATCATTGGATGAAGTGATACCCGTGGCCATTATGCTATCTCTCCTTTCACTGACCCACAACTGCTCTCCAAGATTTCAGAGGATTTTTAGAGCTCTCTCTGGAAATATGCCAGGGATTGCACATGGGATCTTCTGCATACAATATTTCTACCCCATCTGTGAATGGTGGTCATTGGCCCAATTTGCACTGATTTATCCAACTCTGAGGCATTCCTAAAATGAAGCCCAACTGAGTGGCTGAACCCATTTCAAGCAGTGTCCTTGGCCTCTGAATACTCTCAGATGAAAAGGAAGAGAAGGGAAAATCACTGTGAGAGATGTTTGTGCTCTTGGGTAGAGGGGGAAAAAAGTGGAATTATTTTAGGTCCAGGAAAAGCATAATAAGGACTTTGTGTTGTAACCCTGGCAGGACAGGCTCCTACCTAAAGCCAAGGTGGAGGAAATGCTTGCTGCCCAGTTTGGTCATTGCTTTCCTGGCCAAGTCATCCAAATTTTTGGAGCCTTCGTCATTGACCGCGACTGACAAGATCATGCCATCCTCCACAGCATTCAAATATTGCACAAAGCGGAGGCTTTCGCTTTTGAGTTTGTAGGTGTCAAATCTGAAGAAACACAGAAGAACATGTAAGAGGGAGCAGTATCTGCATTTGCCATATTAATTCATGCCTAGACACTCTTGAAGATGAAGGCAACACCAGTGCTCTTTTTCACACTCAAGATAAGCCAAGTCTGCAGGATAGAGTGACCTGCAAGAACCAGATAACCCATGCTCATCCCATTATAGTGGATTTTTTTTTTTTTTTGCCATTTTGTCTGTCACGGGTGGGCAAGCTTTGGCCCAGGGGCCAAATGTATTCCTCCATTGCTTTCTGTTCTATTTTTTAGCCTTTATTTGCAAGTATTTATTTATTTATTTATTTATTTACTTTATTTATTTATTTATTTATTTATTTATTTATTT